TAATAGGTATAAAAATATTATTCACTATATAGGACTTGAAACATTACATTTCGGTATACTATTAAGATTCATGGATTTACATTATATATATATATATATCTAACGAAATTTTCTTAATATTTAGATTAATTTTATGCTATTCCATATTTATAGAACAAACATATCCACAATATTCTATACTTAAAAACCGATGATTACTAGCTGACTAGTATAATAATATGATATGCTCGAAAATATATTATACAATAGGTACAATATAKTATACATATAATTTAAGTTCAGAGTTGGCTAATAACCTACTTAGACGTTGAAGACGGCAAAATCTTAAATAAATAAAAAGAATCGTGTTCCCTCAGAATCGCGTGGTTTTTAAAGCAATGATTTATCATTGATTTCAAGTTGAACATATACAACACTTACAGTGACTTGGGTAAGGCATAGAATGCCGATTATCCGGACTAATTAATGTCAACACTCAAGGAAGGTCAGAATACGTAAATAACATGAAAATAATTGTAATATTTTATACACAATGTGTACATACATATATATATATATACAATATATAATATATATACCGAGTCATCGACGCCGCGACAATACAGCCAATAAGCGTTAGGTAAGATGGTAAGAATTTAATGTATGGAATAATTTTTATAAAGAATAAAATGAATAAATTAAAACGTTGGATATCTTATCTACGATTTTGTACTTGTCCGGAATTGGACGTCCGGATAATCTGGTGTTCGGAGTAGTTTTGTCGATGAACTATAATAGGTAGGTACTAGGTACCCCTCAATACGAGCCACGAGGTACATACGATACCTTTATTTACAGCAGAGTAGAGCGCCAAAGCGGTTTCCTTTGAGGTTTCTTTTACAATATTTTATATAATCACCTTGTGTTTTGAATTGAAAAAATTATACTTAGCTAATAAATTTTAATTTTAAAATTACAATCACTAGTCATTTCTATCATAAGGGGTTAATTACAATTTGTAAGAGATTTGTTAAGCAYTTTAGCTTGAATATAATGTWAAATGTTAACATTTTCTGTTCTTAAATAATATGTATAAATAATTGTTTTATCGTAATAGACAATGGTTTTGAAGAATACCTACATGCGTACTATAAAGTTCAAACATTGACAACATTGATTTAATTGCAAATTTTCCAATTCACTACCGCACGTCTCAAACCTAAAATAACATAACGATTTTCACATGAAAACCATCAATGAAGATGCTTAATTCTTTTATTTGTGCTTCTGCGTGAGACTTCTATCCCACCAAAATCCTCTTATTAAAAACCTCTCCTCTCTAACTCTCTCAGGAAATCCAAGGCGCAGGCTAAAAAGGAAATGATGTCCTACAATTATCAATTTAAAATATACAATATAGGTACATAATACATATATATAATATATATATATATACAATTCCGACCATCAATAATTAAAAAAAAAAAACAAAAAAATATATTTAAATAATTCATGCTAAGTATTGCCAGTGGGCGGCTTCTTATTCAATTTCTCACGTCCTGTCTTCTCTTAACCGGTGATACCTACTCGTTTGCGCACAGTACACAATTTTTTACCCGTAAACTTACAAATCGTTTGCGTACATCAATAACGTGAAAACCCGGTAATACTAATTTTGACCTGAAAAATGACGACTTGTTTGCGCACAGCTATTAAATTAGACTTGTATTGTTACGTGTGAGCAAATTTCGATAAGATACACGTAATTGATTAACTAGTGTGTGGTTCTAAAGAAGCATTACATTAAAATTAATAAAATAGTAAATRCAATAATAACATAGAAAAAACATGGCAAATTTAATTTAAATTAAATTAACAAAAAAAAAGACATTTTTAATCACGCCTGCAGTTGTAAACAGACAGTCCCTGTAAAAGTGAGAAGGAAAATGTTTGAAAACAATCTTAAACATTATTTTTGTTAAGGGTTTTAGTAGACTTTTGCTATACTTTTTGTACGCAAACRAGTCCTACGTTCTGGGTCATTTATCACAGGTATTAAAGATTTGTGTGCGCAATCGAGTTATACATTTGTACGCAAACGAGTCGCAAAAAAGGATAAATATGCTCAAACGGGTATCGCCCCTCTTAACACATACTTGTATAGATTGCTTATTTCGAATAAAAAAAAAATGAAAATGAAAATTTAMAAATTCTTCAGTTGTTAAAAATTTATAAAACGTTGAAATTCTATAGCTAAGGATTGAAAATTTAAAACAAGGTTCTACGTAAGTAGATAATTTTGTTGCAAAAAAGTTTCTAACTATTTAAACAGATTTGGATGAAATTACATATTAAATAATCAAGAATAATAATTTTAGTAATAGATGTAATTTAAAAATATTATTCGTTGCCTTTGTTGGTACTTAAATTTCTAGAGTACCTATACTTTATATTCTAATATTAATA